TCCCTTGTCATAGAAAACCGAAACTAAATTTCTTTGAGTAATGACTGATGATAAATTGTCGTGGAAAAGTCATGCAAACAATATTCGTCAAAAAAAAAAAAAAAAAAAGTGTGGTATCTTGTACCATACGCGTGATTTTCACGCTATGAATGCCTGTAAATGCATTTATTTTTCATCCATTTATCCACATCTAACATGCTGCAACATTGTCTGGGGAGCTGTCAATGAAACCACGTCAAAGCCCGTTATAACTGCCCAAAAACATTAGGCAAATATGACCATACCAATAGTGCATTTTCTACACTGAAACTATTGAAACAGAGATATAAATGCCTACTTTTGTGCTGTCTTCATTTTTAAATGTATCACTATCTACAAAAATAAATAACTTACTATTAAAATACCCAACTGTAAGTTCAAAGAAATCAAAGACATGTATTTTATATCATGGTGTAAGTGTATGGAATACTCTGCCCTCACATCCCCACAATGCTTCGTCACTACTGTCACTCAAAAAATCGCTGAAGGCCCATCTATTACATATGTCAGAGTGAATTCTGACGTTTAGGACAAATGTAAGAAGTAATTTGTATAAGTATATATACAGGTAGATAGCGTTTATTTATGCATCTGTATACATGCTTACATCTGTGTACAAATATGTCTATGCAATACATTTATAAATATATGTGTATGTGTATATGCAAATACAAGGCTAATGTAAGCATATATGTATGTGTGTGTGTATGTGTATATGTATGTACATGTATATGTATATATATGTATATGTATTTATGTATATGTGTATTTATGAATAAAAATGCGTGTATGTATGTGTATATATATGTTTGTGTATAAGTATGTATGTTTATGGGTGTATATAATTTGTATATGTATATGTGTTTATGTATGTAGGTATGTATATGTGTGTATATATAGATATCATCTTGTGCAATATATTTTATTGTTTATTTTTCATGGATAACATTATCATTTATTACAACTTACTTACATTTATTACAAATTACAGTTATCATCTCCAATCCAGCTGCGAGTGGAATAACTGTCTAAGAAATTAAATTAAATAAGGTGCCTCCTTAAGAGAGCTTGTGTTCTCAGGAGGCTCAGCCATTCTATTTTCATTTTGTATATGTCAAATTACATTTATGTATATTGGCAAAATAAACGTTATTAATCAATCAATCAGCGAGAGAGAGTGGCTTTAGTGCAGGTCAATGAAAGGGGACTTAGCTTGCTGGTTTATTGTTGAAGGTAGATGTGAGACCCCAAGAGATCCCCGTGTCCCTGGAGTCGAGGTCGAGGTAGTAGAGTTGGACCCTGTGCGGCTTGGTCTGTCTGCCGTGTCTCCCTCTCTGTCTGACGAGATGTGTCCTTTTAAGCAGACGCTCCCTCCGAGGGCGGAAGCTTACTTTGTAGAAGTGCCAAAAGAGAAAGCAGAGCAGGAACCTACATCCACCCAAGTAGGAAAAGCAGCTGCTGGGGACAGAGGTGTGAAACGTTCCATCCGGTCTTGCTATGTATCATTGTTATTCTGCCACACACAAGGCTCGTCCTCGAGTTGTCTCCAACACTTGAAGCACTATGATAAGCAAATAAGGATACAGGCTCTGTTCAGCATCATACAGATGGTTCCTGTTGATCCAATGGTCGCTAGGATCTTTATGTGCGGGTGTAGCAGAGGCTTCACTATGCAACATTCAGTAGCGAGTAGGGTCACATCGCCCGCAGGCCAGTAAAAGGGCTAAAGAGGAGGATAATGTGTTTATCAATCACTTACTAAGAAGCCAGAAAAATGAGAGCATAATAAGAACAATTTGTCACAAGAAGTGTAACGTGTCAAGTGAGGAGTGTTAATTACTTTGTCATGATTTGTCAGGAATAGCAAGTTCAGTAGAGTACCATCATATTGTAGAGATAAAAAAAGTAATTGAACAAGAATTCCATATCTTCAGGCAAAATATGCAAGTATATATACTTTGAACATAGAGTCAGCTGAGTCTGAACTTAATTTTAACCGTGAGCATTTCGGGCGCGTCAATCATATGAGCGTACGTTTGCATAATTTCTCAGTGCGGCGGGCACAGGATTCCTTCGTTTACGGTCATGAGCCGGGCTTAAAACTAACTTGCAGTGATTATAATTATGTAAGCCTACGTAAAAAATGGTGTCTGTAGTGCAGTCCTATTATTTTCAACAGGAGTGACTACCATCAGTTACTTACATGTAACGTATTCACCAGTACATTAAAACTAAGAAGGATAAATTCCAGCGTAACTGAGGGTGAGATATCAAACTTTGACATGTCATGAAAGCGAGTTGAGTTCAATTACAAGTCAAAGGGATGGCACTTAGTAGAATTCGTAATCCTGGAGTGAATTCCATATAGAGTGGGCAGGTGGCTTTGGGCTTAGAACAGGTAATCGACTTGTATCTTAAAACTGTGTGAATAAGCGACCTATTAAAGCGGCAAGTATAAGGA